CTTTGTGCATGTTCTCCGCGCGAGCTACTTCAGAGAAGAGATTCCTCGTTGTGTGTGCGAAAAAACTATCATTATTAAAACTGCTTAGGCGACGTCGGATTCATCTTGGCCTGTGATTTTTTGAAATTCCAGTCGTGGACTTCGATACGCTTGCCCACATCTTCGAGATTCTTTGTCATGACTTCCAGCCAAAATGTACCCAGCTGAGGTCCGCTTCGACCGACAGGTGTAGCTCTGATCCGTTCGCGTTGCAATCACAAGCTTACCCTTAGCGGGGTGGTACGCGCGGGTGCTTCACGCCTCTTGGCCAAGCAATAGGAGATTCACAGCAGTAGAGAAAGTGTGTGAAGTGCCGTTGACACATGCCAATGTCATGGGGCGACGACGCACTCGCTATGGCCACCGCGTGAGAAAAAGCTATCGCTCGATCCGGAGAAGCACGAATTTCGCCAGCACTTCTGCTGTGCTGGTGAGGGGCGTAGTGCAGCAGTATCTTGTTTTTGGGACTGAATGGGAGATTTGGCATGGTGAGTCGTTGTACTGCCTGAGAAGCAATTCACGAACAGAGCCAACTCTGGGGTGATCATTTCCAACGATAGGAGAACTATGTTTGCCTGGAGCAGCCTGTTCTCCTAACCTGACTCCTTCCTATGTTGCTCTGACCTCAGTCGATCTCTGCAGCTTCCTTTGGGTCAGCGGGGTGTGCCCCCTCACGCACAAAACAGTCAGATATGTGCCCAGCCGCCGCACATCGGTGAATCTCGTCGGTTTGAGTACATGACTGCGACTGTGCGGCCTCGTGGTGATGAGCTTGACCTGAACTGCTCCATGACTTCGACGCCTAAGGAAACTGACTGTGACCGACCCTCGACCGCGCTGGGTGAAGTACTGCGACTACGCCGATGTTCACTCGAGATGCGGTAGCGAGGGCTAGGACTGCGTCGATGTGGAGCTGCCGGTACGGTGTTGGGCTATTCTGTCGACGTTGACTACCGGGACTGCTTCGATAATGACCATATCGTTGTTGACTCGGACTGCGACGGCGTTCAAAACTAGCAAACATCGTTGTCGACTGTCACCGCCGTCTCTTGAGCTTGCACTGCGACGACGACGGCCGTGTTTCCTGGAGCTCTGATAACGGCGACTAGACTGCGCCGTTGTTGACTGGGACTTCTGGTCCAACTTCGGTCACGTGATGTTTCCTCGTGTCTGCGTCGTGTCTCAGAACTGCGTCGATGGCTCGATGAGGTCCGACGGTCCCCGTCTCGACCACGACTTGCGGCGTGGCCATGGATGCTACGACTCCGGCTTCTTCGACTGGTGCCTCGAGCTCTGCTATGTCCCGTATCCTCCCTCTTCCTTCCTCGGTACGTGCCTCGAGGCGGAAGTTGCTGGGGACTGACGCTGTGGTCGCGTCCGAAGCGCTCATTGGTCCGTTTCGGTCCACAGCGTGACACAGGCGATTGACGACGCTGCGGCTTCTGCTGCGACTGAACTGCGACTGACACTGCGACTGCTCCGTCTGCGTCCGCGCTTCTGAGTTGACGTGATGGTGGGGGTGGCGAGTAGCTCTCGCTGCGTGACGAGTGGCGGTGACGACGGCGGTCCATGACGACGAGTTCAGGAAGGAGTGGCGGGAATTGGTCGCGAAGGTGTCGATTTCGTACTTAGTGTTGGTAGCAAGGCGAAAAGGAGGTCACGATGGTGTACCGTGTTGGTGGTACGGTTCGACATGATACGCTTGTGGTGGCAACGATGAACAAGTGGTCTCTCAATCATGTCGAGAGTGTTAGTCAAGATGGCTACAGTAGCCACATCTACGGGTCTGAGAGTCCCCTGGTCGGACTAGTGATGGCAGGCAGAACTTGTTGTGATCGAGGCCCATTTGGGCAGACGGAGGTGATGACCCAAGTAGCAACGAAATGTGCTTACTATCGACGTGTCCAGTAGGTCGTAAATTGGAGCTGAATCGCGCACAGAACACGTCAAGTGCAGAACGTACGCCTGGTGGTCGTGTAAATGGGTCATAGGAAACCTTGTCGAATTACATACTGAGTGCAAAACTCCTGCCGTGAGCAACCACGCTTGACTAGTCATAACTTGCCTGTGTACCGCCTCTCCACTTCTTCATCTTGCACATCCGTCGGCTGAATTCAATCTATCAATCTGCGTCTAGTGGAAGAGCTGCGACACTGACTTCTTGCCGTGGATATTCTGGATAGCTTGTGCCAAGAGTGGAGCAATATCCAGTTGCACAATCTTTTCGTTGCCCTCACAGCTCTTAGGCAACGGCGTAGTGTTGACGACCACAACCTCCTTGAGCGCCGAAGCCTTGATGCGATCACTGGCAGCGCCGTTAAACAGACCGTGCGGGGCAAACGCCGCGTTGCTAGCACCGTGATCGACCAGGTGCTGCGCGGCTTTGCACAACGTGCCAGCTGTATCAATCATGTCATCCACGATAATGCAGTCCGAGCCTTTAACTTGGCCCACTAGATCCATGCGGTCAATCTCGCCAGCCTTGATACGCTGCTTAATAATCATAGCCAGTCCGTGTTCGGCAGCCCGTGCTTCCCCCCACAAGCCACTCCCGGAACTTCTTGGCACGTGCGACACCACCAGCATCCGGGGACACTACAACTGGATTCACCAACTCGTGGTTGCCCAAAGTACGAGACGCCAACGAGACCTCCGTCCAAATTGTCCACAGGCACGTGCGGACCAAAGAAGCCCTGGATCTGGCCACAGTGCAAGTCCACCGCAATCACACGGTCGACGCCCACTAGCTTCCAAGAGCCGGGCCACATCAGCAGCCGAAATCGGCACACGCGCTGCCATCTTGCGGTCTTGTCGTGCATAGCCATAGTACGGGATCACAGCTGTGATCCGACGTGCCGACGAGCGCCGCATGGTACTGACCATGAGCAGCAGCTCCATGAGGTTCTCGTTCACAGGCACGCACGTGGGGCTGCACAATGTACACGTCTTTGCCCCGCACGTTCTCGTGCACCATGAGGTTCACTTCGCCATCGGCAAAGCGCTCGACTGTGATCTTGCCCAGCTGCACCCCCACGAGCTCCGCCACGTTGGCAGCCAGCTCGTGGTTGGCGTTGCCACTGAAGATCTTGAGTCCATTGATCTTGGGCTGCTTGGCAACCGGCGTGGCTCGTGGAAGCGCGTCTTCGGTTTGAGCAGCAGCTGCTGCTACCGACTGCTGTTATTGCTGCTGCTGAGCGCCTAGAAAAGCGCCAGCAGCTACGAAGCCAGTGGCAAGGGCAGCGGACGACAGTCGACCGTGACGGGCAACGAGGTGACGGAACATACGTGCGGGTCAGTTGGAACTGGAAGAAGGAGGCAGAGCGAGGGACTTGCGCCAATGCCAGCGCCAGCGCTTGGACTCGAGTTGATACAGTCGATGGACAAGGCCGTATTGGATCGACAGATGGATACACTCACTGGTCGATAGATGGCTGGCTGGCCGCTGCGGGTCGACTGTCTGATTGTGGACGTAATGGTGTGGTGGACGTAATGATGTGGTGCACGCATGTTTGGGTCGCTGCACTTCAATCGGACACAAAATTAGACTTGTGGCTTGTACCGCAAAATGGGGCAGTCGTTCCGATACGCTCGCCCACCTCCGTCGACTCACTTTAGTAACAATGACGACGACGACGACGACGACGACGACGACTCGCGTGTTGCTCATTGACAACTACGATTCGTTCACGTACAACATTTACCAGGCACGTCTTCCCGTACCCATACGTTCTACGTTTCTTATTCACTTGACACGAAACCGTAACACTCTGTCGTCCCTTTGTATCGAAAAATAACCCCGTCTCGTCTGTCTGCCTGTCAATGATGTATCCATCCATGTATCCATGTATCCACCTCTCTCACGCGCGTGCATCACTCTAGTACATGACGCAACTCGGCGCGTCCGTTGAAGTGAAACGCAATGACCAGATCACGATCGACGAGATCCACGAGATGCAGCCAGACCGCATCATGATCTCGCCGGGTCCAGGCTACCCCGTCTCTGCTGGAGTATCGTGTGACGTCATCCGCTCTTTTGCCGGCAAGGTTCCCATTGCTGGCGTGTGTCTCGGCCACCAGTGCATGTTTGAGGTTTTTGGCGGCAAAGTGGATCACGCTGGCGAGATCGTGCACGGCAAAGCGTCTGTGATCGCGCACGACGGCAAGGGACTGTTCCAGGGCATGACGCCCGAGTTCAAAGCCATTCGCTACCACTCGCTCGTGGGACTGCCCGAGACGTTGCCGGACGTGCTCGAGGTCACGGCCACGGTGAAAGGCACGAACATGATCATGGGCGTGCGGCACAAGGAGTTCAAGGTCGAGGGCTGGCAGTTTCACCCCGAGAGTATTCTGACGGAAGACGGGCTCAAGCTTATTCAGAACTTCCTCGAGATGTAAAGCGAGTGACTCGATCGGTAGGCAGAGACCGACTCCCGTTTGCACATGACATACTACAGTGGACGAGCACATGTCTTGCGTTTACTGCTGCTGCTGGTTCTTCTTCTTCTTCTTCGCGTCTTTTGTCAAGCGTCGAAATGTGCTCTTTTGTTGCTAGGTTAGGCACTGACTCGGGCTAGTTCAGCAGAAGACGTGGCAAGTAAGAAAGCAGAGGAAGTGCCGATGGCAAAACACGATTGACGAAGCTGTTTCTCTCGACCATGAGCATGAGCCATTCGTTCGGCGCACTGGTCCCGAGTCGCTATAGACTCGGAAGTCGGTTATGCTTTTTGCACAATTTGCAACAGCACGACTAGTCCTCCGAGAAGGTAAATGCCAAATCTTTTTCGGAATCGGAGGCCGATGCTGTCGGTAGAAACTACATATGAGCACAAGGAAGTGAGTTCTCTTGTTTCGCTTTCTCTACTGCCAAAACGTTGAACGCGCACCTGCAACTGATCGATCGACGGTTGGTTCTCCAGGGTCCAAGACAGGAACTTCTGGAATTGGTGTGGAGTCATTGTATTTCGAGATTGATGCAGGATGGTCTACGGTGCAAGCCACCATCATGTCAGCTAAGCATCACAAGAAAAGAGAGCACTATCAGCACAGCGAAAGAAGAAGACGCACCTCAATGCCGGGGACATAAAGCCAGTCGTGAGCTTGCAGTGCAGAGAAGCACTTGAGAATTGCGTCCAGCTTCCGTGCTTCTTCACCAGCAGGGATTGCCAAGCTCGCAATTCGCTGACATTGCGTATCAGTGAGACCTAGTTGCGTTCTTAACGACAAGAACAACTCCGATCTGTTCGACGCTACTGCAATCAACGCTTGATTCTCTGCATTGGCACGACGGATCTGAGTGCAGCGTACAATCGTCAGTTTCATGGTTCACTCATGCCAATCAATCCCATCCATCTTGCAATCTTCAAACATCATACAGCGTCCGTATTTTTCGAGTGTTGTCCAAGGATGCGTGCCATCAACTCCATCTTGGCATCTTTGGACAGCAGTGCATTACGCAGGTGTTCTCCCGAGCCATACTCTGCTTTCAGCACAAACCAAACTACCCATTACTCCACTCCAGCACGATATTGTGTACCACATGCATCCACATACATACCCAAAGCTGTTGCTAATTCATGAGCATCCCCAGTACCAAACTCGTGCTTCTTGAGTATGTTCAAAGCAGTCTCAAGCTTCGACACCTCTCCTTCGTACGTCTCCACCATGCCCTTTTTCTTCTCCCGTCGCACTCGTGCTGACGCGCGATTGCGCTCCAGACGTCGCTGTCTCCGATCATCTTCTTCTTGCAGCTTCTGGTAGATGGACAGCAAGTCGGGCGTGCGCATGATCTGCTTGATATCTTCCGAGCCCATGAGCGACGGGTCCGTGCCACTTACACGCGCTAGAAGCGCCGTATCCATCGACAACCCTCCCGTACTGGCTGCAAATTGAGCTGCCGAGATCTGAGCCACTGACGCAGCAGCCTGTCGACCTGCTACCGTCATCGATGTGCCTGTCGTAGCTAGTGGCCTCATCGCCTGGTCCTGTTCAGTCTGCATCTGGAACCCCGCACCGTCTCGAAACGTCATGCTGCGCATGCCTTCGGACGGACTGGGCTGCAATCGGCTTAAGTGCGGATCATTCCACGCAGCTGTATCGGTCGAACGAGCGCTCGTGCTCCTCCTGTGAATACCAGGGCGGGAATTCCATTGACGTGGCGAGGCATCGGCGTCAGGCTCGGCCAGCGACTGGTTCAATCTCTTGTAGCTGTAGAGAGAAGCTCCAGAGATGCTCTGCGAGGACGACGCTGGCGTGTACGAAGGTAGGGACGAGGGCAGGTCACTATCGCCACGGCCGTCATCAACGTCGCTTGGCTGCTGCTGCTGCTGCATTGGGGTTGTGACGCTGATGTCACTACCGAGAGGGGTTTCGATGACGCCAACGACGTGGCGGATTTTTCAATACTGTTTTACCGGTTTATGCTCCATCCGTCCCGTTCACGATACCGGTTTTGCGTTTTGGCGACCTCGGATCGACATGGGCATCAACGGCTTCTTGCGGCAGCTCCACGACGTTGTGGACACGACGCATCTACAGCGATTTGCAGGGCAGACGCTGGCGGTGGACGCGCTATCTTTTCTACACAAGGCGTACGTTGTATTGGCGCTATCAATCATATCTCTCTCTCTTCTTCTGCAGGTCCCGACTCATTAGCACTGTATTGCACTTGTCTTGCAGCTGTTATGGCTGCGCATTTGAGCTCTCGACGGGCAAAGAGACGGAAGCTTACGTCCATTATATGTTGCGTAAGGTTCATATGATGCGGAGCTATGGCGTGGCCGAGGTCATTCTCGTGTTTGACGGACAGCGACTGCCACTGAAGGTACCGAGAGATTGTGGACACTCTGATCCATTCACTGGTAGGAAGAGCTCTTGGGGTTCACTTTGGCTGTTGTTCTTGTTGTTTCCTTTTCTAGTCTTTGACGCATGAGAAGAGAAAGAGGTACAAGGAAGAAAACCGAAGACGAGCTCTGGAGGCCATGGCCGACTCGAAGAAATTGCAAGGAACGGATCGCTCAGACAAAGTCAACAAAGCTTACCAGCTCTTCCAGAGAGTGCGTCGCATAGTCGTGTACTACTGTTTGGTCGTGCTAGGACAATCGGTATTGACTCGATGATGTTGCTTGACTCGCTTGATGGCTGAAAACAGTCGGTCTCCATTACTCCACAGATCATCTCCACTGTAATGAACGCGCTGCGAGCAGCCAGAATCCCATTCGTTGTGGCGCCGTTTGAAGCTGATGCGCAGGTTTAGCTGCTGATTGCATGATCTTGCTGTTGCGGTGTGCGGTACTAAGTGGTTGCGGCTTTTTGCGCAGATGGTGTGGCTTTGCAAGAATGGCTTTGCAGCAGGGATTGTAACGGAAGACTCGGATGTGGTAGTGTACTGCCTCACTGCTGATGTCTCGTGCCCCGTTCTTGTCAAACTGGAAGATAACGGTGCTGCCCAGGTTTGAACGCTAATCGTTTTGTATCCTAGCCGTGTGCTTGGTGGTGTTGATCAATTCGTGTCGTTCGTCCCGGTAGGCCGTGTCGCGGTCCATACTCCACAAGAACTCGGCAAAAGCTACTTGTACGTTGATAATCGACGAGTGTTGCTCATGGTGTCTGCTGCTCACTCATTTATTTGCGTCGATGTCTTACCTCCCCAGCAAACGCCTTACTGAGAAAAATCCATTTTCTTACATCAAGAGATAAAGAAGCCATCCGCATGTTTGTGCAAGTGTGCGTTCTAGCTGGCTGCGACTTCATCGACTCACTTCCGAACGTGGGGTTTGCCGTAAGCATGAAGTCTTGTAGCACCCGCCTTGCTTCGGTTCTTGTCACAATCTAACCTTGCAATACGGTGATACGATGTTAGACGGCAGTCAAACACATCTTCAATTTTCGGGGTGCACCCGCTCACTTGCGCGTCCAGCGGTTGACTAGCAAGCTATTGAGCTCGGGCACAAAGGTCCCTGCTGAATTTCTGCAGGAGTTTGTCAAGGCAGAAACCATTTTCTTCCATCACATCGTCTTCAATCCCGATAAACGCTGCTGTGAGCTCCTCGTCCATGAGAAACACATCAACTGTTTCCCTGACGTTCTGCAGCGTGCGAAAGAGTCGTTGGGCATCGCGTTATCCGACGAGGTCGACCTAATGTCAAGCGTTCGGCGTGGAGATCTGCGTGCAGTGAGTGCCGCAACAAAAAGCTTTCTTGGCGAAGTCCTGTCGTCCGAGATCGTCGAGCAGATATACAAGGGCGAACTGTATGCGCGCACCCTCCGCAGTCTTTCCGATAGCCCCGCAAGTTCACGAAAGCAAAGAAGTTTTGCGGCATCTCACTTTGAGACTTCATCCAGCGTGCAGCGCAAACCACTTGGCACATCTGTCGACCAGCCGACGCGGAAGGAGGTTCCACAACTTTCGTCCGTTGCGGTCGCGCAACAGATTGAAAACAAGAAGCGCTTGCAAGCAAACGAGCGTGCTGTGTCATTACATGGTCTAATGAGCGTGTACAAAGCTACGAATGCAGCAGCGGCATCAGCAACAAATGGAGCAGTGACGTTGACAGCATCAACGCAAGCGTTGAATGCGGTGCACCTAAATGGTAGCAAACCCAGCTCCAGTGCTGGTCCATCTGCTCAAGCAATCATCATGTCGGCAGCTTTGTTGGAGGTCAAGTCGTCGAAGGTAACCGCAATGTCAATGAAGGATCTTGTCGCAAAGCACTCCCAATCTGTCCGACCAGCGAAATCTCCTCGTGTCGAAGAAGCACCTGCAAAAGTCGTGACACAAAGCGCACCCGGGTCTCGAAAGAGACCACGACAAGAAGGAGAGCCGGTTGCTAGAGTTGCGATAGCCCGAACACTCGTTCACAAGCCGCCTCTTCCGAACAGCAGCAGAAAGACTCTGTTTGACTTCTTCCAGAAACAAACCTGAACTCCATGATCATCAACGAAACACATTGCATTCACGCACAAACGCTTCGTATTGTTTCCAAGCTGATGGACGAGCTGCACTCATGCCTTCTACATCTGCGCACCCGCAAATCCGTTCTCCACTTCAAGGTGCTCTTTAATGAGCTTGGAGATACTCTTGAACTCGGGATTGCTGGCATCATTGGCAAGCTGGAAGATGGCCGACTCGACAGACGTAATGAAGGCGCCAGACTGGCGCATGCGCTTCAGTGCCATCGTGCGGTTGTAGCTCGTAGAGCTGGACATGGCGTCCGAGATTACGTGCACGTCATAGCCGTCGTCCAGCAGATCGAGACACGTCTGGAGCACACACACGTGCGTCTCGATGCCGCAGAGCAGCACCGACTTGCGTTGCGGCATGGTCGTGGTCAGATGCTGCATCACTTGGGGCACGAGCATGGAAAACTGCATCTTGTCGAACGTCTTGACGTCCTGCACGTCCTCGAGGGTCTTGGCGATCTCCGACACGGTGCTGCCCAGTCGGGCGCTGTACTGCGTCGTGATGACGACTGGCAGCTGCAAGAGCTTTGCAGCTGAGATCTGCACACGCAACAGAATTGTCCTTACCGATACGGTGAGTACGAGGGTGACCGATAAGGGCGTAGAAATCCTATTGTGACTGACCGACCATTGTGTTGGTGCCGTGGATGACCGTCGGTTGCTGGAACACGCGGCCACGGAAGACCTCCTGCATGTCGCAGACGAAGAGCACGCTGGAATGCGGTAGGAGGCGCCCTAGACGCGAGGTCAGAGCTGCCATTGTCGTGAGGAAGAGATGGGGAGGCCGGTTGTGATTGGGGATGGGGAGTAGTCGCACGCAGAGGTTGAAGGTGATGATGGAGTGAGACGGTCGATTGCAGAATGGGTTTTATACCGGTTTTTGCTGATAGAGCAGTGGGTTGAGTGCAGATAGATGGGCCCATTTTGATGAGAATGGTGCGAGAACGATCGAAGGTTTTAACGCGAGAACAAGAAACGAAGGAAGAACACGCGTGGATTTTGCTACGAAAACATCTGTGCACCAAATTTTGACGTAGAAACTGGGACCACCTGGGACCACCATCGACTGACGCAGCGATTACACGCAATGGTTGGGCTCTACAGGCACTTCAGGCGCCACCACTGGAGCAGGTGGCTGAGGCTGGGGCGGCTGCGCCACCACTTCAGACGCCACTACTGGAGCAGGTGGCTGAGGCTGGGGCTGGGGCGGCTGCGCCACCACTTCGGGCGCCACTACTGGAGCAGATGGCTGAGGTTGGGGCTGTTGCACCTCCTGGGGGACGGGCTTCTCATCCGGCTTGGCCACCTCTGGGACGGGCATCTCTTCCGGCTTCACCCCCGTCTTTGCGCTGTCACCCTTGACGCTGTCGTCCTGGACGTACGCATTGCCACTTGAAACTTCCCCTTGCGTCTGGGAATCCTCTGGCGCAACGATCTCGTGCGTGGTGGATTGCGAGCCTGATGTCCCGTCCTCCTGTGTCGCGTCATCCTGTGTCACGTCACCCACGTCATCCTGTGTCACGTCACCCACGTCATCCTGTGTCACGTCCTCTGACGGGCAGAAAGTTACGACAAAGTCCGTGCCGAATGGGCACGAGTGTGTCTTGATATCGTCCTGCGGGTAGTTGTAGGCGTCCACGCACGCGTCGGCGAGACACGTGAGTTCGCGACAGTTCTCGCCGTTCGTGTTGGAAAGCGGGGTCACCTGGACGGGCGTGTTGAAGCCAATCCCGCTCTCCGAGTGCAGCTTGCACTCCTCGAGGCTCTTGCAGAACTCGAACCCGGGCTTCATACGCGACGGGATGATGCTAATGTCAAACCAGATCAGGTCGAGGTCGCCCTTCGTGGCAAACTCAACGAGCGTAGCAGCGTCGTTCGTGCCATTGCGGAAGTGGCCCTCAAAGCCCTTTTCAATCTGCTTTACCAATGCAGCACCCGAGGCGATGACCACGTGCTCGTCCGTGTAGACACTAGCGAGACGCGTGTAGAAATCGACGTCGACTGAGCACTTGTTCGTGAAGGTCACAGTGGACGTAGCACTGGCCGAGGAGAGCGCGGTAGAGGCAAAGACACCAGTGAGAGCGAGATGACGGACCATAGCTGCTAGAGGTGCTGAAGAGCGGGTCAGTTGATGAATGACGCTCCCTTACTTGGGCTCGACGTCTGCCCATCAAGCGCTCGCGCTGCTACGACGCCACGATGGGAACGCCACATGGAAATGCGCCAGCACCAGATGACCACATGCGTGTGTGGATCCTGAGCTCCCGGTGCCCTTTTCTTGCCTTCCAAGGTCAGAAGGGGCTGTAAAGAGCCAGACCGATTCAGAAAGCAGGTCCTGGAATCCAGGTGCAAAACTGACGTGTAGAATGGGGGTCACGCTACGCGCGACTCCGAGTCGCTTCTATACCAAGTTGTGTATGGGAGTCAGTTCACGATCGATCGCGTTGCGGAAAAAGGGTGCTTCCGAATAATGAAGAGCGAGCGTAGCCCTGGCCGAGGCCAACACTTGCGATGGCAACCGTGCGACGATCACGACTGGCGTCCTGAAGTACCACGCACCTGATGGTTTCTCCTACGATGCGACCATTTGCTCGGCCGCTGCCACGCGACGCTCGACAGCAGATAGCTTTCGTAGCTTCTGTCTTCTCTCCTGCTATGCCGAGTGCGCCAAAATAGGTCTACGGAAGGCGCTGATCATCTGCTCTGAGCGAACTCGCGACACTATTGGTAATCGAGTCGCACATGGGTCAAATCGCTACCTTGTGCCATTTGAGCTCGTCGTCGTTTGTGTGGCAGATCTGAGGACATTTGCATCAAAGGTGCACACGATTTATGATGACAACAGGTCAAGAGCCAATTGTGCCTGGGGATCAGATTTGGGTCATATACGTTTATGCGCATGCACCTTGTTATCCTGTATTTTGCACGGCTAATAGGTTTTGGGCTAGTTTTTGTGGATCGGTGCAGCCATTTTTATCCTGTGTTTGCGACTAGTGTGGTATGCAAGTTTTAACCACAATTTGAAAAATCTTGCACCGACACTTATCCCGCAATTTGTGCAGTATAAATAAAAGAACGAGTTCTTAAACCGTGGTTTAAAGAACCGCATCTCTATCATTCCAGACTGTTTCCGATGCACTTAGTCTCCATTTTATACGATCAGAGCGGCTCCAGCAGCTAGTATAACTTAACTTTTGGTTCAATCAAGGATCAATAGTAGTTGACTCATAAAAGTGCGCTGCAGTAGCAGAAAACTCAGGGGGTCACTCGACAAATGGTATTTTCTCATTATCCTGTCTACGTTTTATTGTTCTGGGATACCCGAAATAACTGTCGAGACTGCTTTTCATTAGTCCAGATATCGTGATAAATCAACTTATCGGCTAAAATTAGTTGGATGTCATCGTTGCAGTTAATGAAGAATAACGAAACAAGATAGAAGAGCAATGCAACAGAGCTACACCACTCTTCAGTCAAAGGAAGGCTTTGGTTTACAGCCACTTAGATCTAGGCTCTGGATACAATAAGTATGCGAGTCTTCCCGTTTTAAAGAGCTGGACTTGTAACGGGGCACCCTGAAGCTTGTACTGGTGACAGTACAAGCTACTTATTCTGATAACAGAATAAGGCGGTGCCTCGTAACTTCACGTACACTCGTACGTGCAGAGGAAGACGGTAAGAAGAAGCGAGTACTTGGTTAGAGTAAAAAGTAGAACTGTATTTATAATAGTTAATGTCTGCAATAAATCACTATTTATCTTCATCTAACTATGTCTAAATACAAATATGTAAATCAACTATCTGCTCACCACTCATTGCGTGCGTCTGTCGTGGCGCGTCTTCGTTGGTTGATATAATGGCCTATATCAACCAATTAGGAACTGCTTGTAAGTGCTACAGAATATTTATCCTTATGACAATATTCTGAGAATATAACTCTTATAGTTATATTCTATTAACAATTTCTTATAAATTGTTATGTAACGATTCACCCCGTTACATCACCCCCCCCTTAACCATCAGTCACTTTAGTGACTGATTGACTAAATGGATACTCGTCCCAAATCATTTGGGACGGGGTTTGCACTTGTTGGTCCGCGTCCACTTTCCAACATCTCATCGCATGGTAAACAAGCCCATGCGATGCGCGAGCAAGGCCGCCGAGAGCGCGTCTGCACGTCTCTGTGCGGACGCCGAAGCAGAAACTACAGCAACTGATGTCCCATCGGTTGCTGAATCGACTCAGCCTGTATCACCTGGTGATGCAGGCGCTGGTCATGAAGACACTCGTGTCTTCACAGAGTACGAGCTCGGTGTCTCGTACTCTCCTGATACGGATGACGGATCCGTATCGACGGCAATTGAATCCAAGCCGCCTGCCAAGCGTGGCATGGACGATGCTTTGCGTCGCAGTATCTTTGGTTCATCTGATGAGTCAGATGAACCATCGCCGAAGCGAAGGCGCTCGAGGTCGCGAGACTCGGGCGCTAATAGTGGTGTCGTTTCTCCAATGGACACCACTTCACAGCGAGGTGCCAGTACTTCTGTCGGCACGTCGCAGGAAGAGCGGGACCGCAATGTGTTGCGTCTCGCTCCAGAAAAGAAGGCATGGATGCCTCCTAAATCTGTCATGGATCACTTGTCGGCGACGACGAGTGATCGTTATCGAACACGATTGTTCGATTCGTCAAGGATCCATCACCTTGACCCCAGCGCGAAAGACTATCGCGCTGAACATGAGTTCTTCATCGATGCTTTCTTCAGACATCGATGGTACAGTGGGAATCACAAACGTGATGGTCCCTCACTACTTCAGGCGTGGAACGCCTACATCCATAATCTCGAGGATGTAGGTCGTGACGCTTGGAACGACAAACTTATCAAAGCTCGTGATAAGTTTGAAAAGCGAACCCCGACAGGTGCACGCTACAAGCTGCATCGTCTGTCAAGGGAGAAAGGATT